CGATGGAACAACCCCATGAAGGGCCCAGTTAAACCTTGTGTTGAACAGGTTGCAGTTTTAAACTTGGAAAACTAATTTCAGCCGGAGGTCTGTCTGTGTTTCAGAGAAGCGATCTTGTAGCGTGTGTGGTCTAGCACCTCCTAGTGGCGGCTTCGGAACCGATCCCACCTGGTAAACAAGGGCTTGACTTGGTAAACGAGTTTGGCCTGTTAGAGGGCAGGAATTTGAGCACTTGATCAGAGCAGCAGCTATACTGTACGTCTGGGTTTGTCTGTTCGGCGGCGCCTGCCCGGCTCCCTAGCGCCCGGTTCAGAGAATCGGACATTTTCTTTGCGACGTTGTCCGTAAGTAAGAAGCTGAAGGCTACAAGGGTCTCATTCCGTGGATCTCCAGATGGGAAACATTGATACAGATACACGGTTATCTGTGATGTACAGTACATTGTTCATTAACATATTAGAAATTATGTAATAGCTCTTCTCACACAAAAAAAAAACATAACGGGTAAAACTAAGGTATCAGTCCTTTGTTGATGTGAATATAAATGTATTAATACAGGTGTACTGTATATACGGTCAGTATGAGCGTGTTGGTTTGTTAAAAATTAAGTTTTTGAAGATGGTTTGCCCCTGAAGCGCTGTGCATCATTCCTGAATAAAGGTCTTTAGCATTGACCTTTATTCATTCGACAGACGCCTTTAACATAAAGCAACTTACAATCGCTTACAATTCTGTCAAGATGCGAAGGGTGTTATTAATACATGTGAGTACTGTCTGCTGCCGTTATATTGACATCCCTATACTGAATGCGTTTTAGTTAAACCCCGAATTATTGTGAACACCAGGAGCTATTGTAAATCCTATTTTAATTGCTTTAAAGTTATTTTGGCTGAATCTCGGTACAGAAGTAAAAAAAAAAAGCGATTCTAATTAATTTAAAGAACGAGGAGGAGCAGCCGTGTTTTGCTGGAAAAGATGCCGAGGCAAACGGATAACGTCTTCCACCTCCCGGAGAGACAGCGGCGTGCCTGGAATTTCGGAAAGCTCGTCACCACCCAATTCACGAACAACTGGCGCCGTCTAATTCTAAGCAAATATTCCACTGGTGTAGCAACGTGCAGCTTCACAGAGCAGAGCCAGCGACCCGCTTGCGAATGATAAGCCACGTGTTCATTCCAGTTCTGAGCTGGATATGAGAGCGCACGGCGCCGCTGCCTTTGTCGAGTTAAAATCCCCTTTTTTGTTTTTTTCAACTGTTGCTTTCAAGGTATCGGCACGGGGGGCGTTCTCTTTCATCTGCCCGTGTCTGGCTTGGTTTTCCTCTCTCTCTCTCCAGAACCTCCGCTGAAACACCCTGTGCCGCTTGCCAGGTTGTGACACAGTTGCTGTGTCTCTTTGGAGGTATTTGATCATCGCGGTCACGTTTGTTTGGGTGTCTGTCACAGTCTTGCTGTGCCGCTCAGGGGAGCAGGTGTGGAATCCATCTCTCTGCACATCGCGTTGTGTCGAGCGGGGTAGCGCAGTCAGGCACCGAGGACCGCGCCGTGTAGCTCTCAAGGACTGGATTCTCGCCGTGTATGTTAACGTGAAGAGCCGTCGGCTTTCGCTCCTGCCGCACCTGCGATAGCCGCCCTGTGGGAAGACGTGGGTGTGTTTCTACTCCTGCGGCTTTCGACAGCGGGGTCTGCAGTTAGGGAAGACGTGAAGACGGTGTAAACAAAAAATCGATTTTCTGTGCTGTTCTTTTTTTTTTTTTTCCCCTTTCCTCGCCTTGTAACCGTTAGATTTTTGTTTTCGGCGCTGCGGGGATAAAAGGACTGTAGCTGTCGGGCCGGCGGTCTGTGCGCCTCCCGGACCCCGCGCGTTCCTCTGCCCCTCTGCATTGGGTCCTGCGGGGAGGCGGCTGGGGCGCTTGTGCGGGCAGCGCGTTTGAAATGTGTTTCAGCGGTCTTCTCTCGACTTGACACAACAACAAGGAGGGGCGAGGAAAGGTGGCTCGGGATCCATCTCGGTTGGTCGGATTCGCTCCGCTACAGTGACTTTTTTTTTCTTTCCCTCCCGTGTTCTCCTACCACTGAAACAACATCCATGTCTGTCTGAGAAAAGCAAAACCAGCGGGGAAAAATGCGCTCCCTTTCTACCGGCTAACAGGTGTTTTTTTTTTTTCCTGGCTGCGTACCTGAACCAGTCGATAAGCCACTGGATCCGCGTTTTTAAAATGACCTGCGGGCTTCTTCTCAGCATGACGGGCGCTAAGAGTTGCGTTGCTCAGACAATGACACACAGCTGTGCGGGCGAAGCGCCTCTCTTACCCCGTGTCGCTACAATTAGCGCTTTCTGAATGGAAGCGCGCCTGTCTGCGTTTTGGGGAGGATCGAATTCGCCGAAGAGACCATGCACTGCTGCCTCCCGTGAAATATAAAAACACGAGCACCTTTGAGCTGGCGTTTCAGTGTTAAGTACAGCGGGAGCACCTGTGCGATCTCCCGGTTTTGAATGCGGAAAACATCTTCGACAGTTACGAAATGACCGCCTTACGCGCTTAAAGCCTCTTGTGGATTATTCTTCATTTTTCAGTAGAACTCGAGCGGCCCGTGGAGCGAGGAGAGGTTCGGTTTGTTTTGTTTATTTTTCCTCTGTGAGTTTGCTCATCACAAAAACCGTCAAGCTGTCGATGGCTGCGGCGATCGCCAGCTCCCTTATCCGGCAGAAGCGGCAGGCGAGGGAGCGGGAGAAATCTAACGCCTGCCGCTGCGTGAGCAGCCCCAACAAAGCCAAAGGCACCTGCGAGAAAACCAGCCGGCTGAGCGTTTTCTCCAGGGTCAAGCTCTTCGGCTCGAAGAAACGTAGGAGGAGGCGGCCAGGTCGGAAGTGTTTTTATTAGCCGACTTCATCACGTTAATTGTCACCACCTTCTTCTTCTTCTTCTTCACCATCATCCTCATCCTCATCAGTATCATCAATCATCTTCACCATCATCAATATTACCTCCATCCTCCTGGCTGGGCTAATTATTACGGGCGAGAAGCGCTGGGAACGTGACATTTGACTGTGCCCTGTGGTTAAAATTACCCGGTTAAATTGCTGGACATTGACGTCCTCTATCTGAAACGTTAACTTGGAGAGGAGAGTCTGGCTATGATGTTTTTCTCCTCCCAGTATAATATACATGGCGTGTGGTTTTCAGAAGTTTATTCTGACATGTCCTAATTGATTGCGCCTCACTGTAACTCCTGTTTTTAGAAGGTTAGAAATAAACATACTGTGGGCCCCTGCAGTTTTACTCTCTTATTTGCACGTTTTGGGGACTTTTTTTTCCTTCTCCTGTCTAAACCTTACAGTAGAGTGAAGTGCACACTGGAAAATCATTTAACTCAGGCTCTGAACGACTGTCTATTGTCTTGAAACATCTCCTGACAATTATAAAACATGTCTTCGTGGTTTCACTAACTAGCCCACGGGACAGTTGCTGCAGAGTGTTCTGTTTAATCATTAAAATGAATTTTCCCAGTTCCTTCAAGGGCTGCTGTTTGGATACTGATCAGCAGTTCCACTACAGTCCTGTTATTGTGTTGTGTAATTTACAGTAATCTATACAGCCATAATTCATGCTTCAAACAAGCATGGTGCTGTAGCACAGACATTCTTGATTGTGTCTTTATAGAGTACGGACATTCTTGTTTACTGTATTACAGGGTACAGATAGTCCTGATCAGTATATTCCATCTGGCCAGAGCCTTTTTGTCGACTTCTCAGTGATTTTAACCACTAATCGCATAGGAAAGGTTACAAATGAGAAGAAGCCCCTTTTGGCAGTTAGTAGTTAATTCTTCCAAGAATGTCATCCGGCTGTTTCTTCCATATCGGGGATCTTGGTATAGGCATCAACAACATGGCTGGGTAGCTTGTTCTGTACTCCCATACATCACATCTGTGAATTCATAAAAACTGTTTCTGTCTCCGCACCCAAATCCTCACATCACGTCTAGGCTAAAGGCTATTATACTTTTAAATAAAAAGCTTTTAGAATGTTGTGTATTAAAATTGCTAACAAACAGTATTCATATGGGAACTATTTCAAGTATATTCCTCATAAAATATCAGTCATTGGCTTCATAATCACAATAATTGTCACAAGCTGGGGTTCCTGGAGAAAACTCTACCAGATGTTACTTTACTTTAATAAGCCTGTATTCAACTATCATACATTTTGTTAAAATGGCTTCCCTGACTTTGTCCTCGTTTGGTACTGGGATTGAACGAACACATTTCAGAGCAGAAAAATCCTCCAGACTATGCCTCTGAAAAAGGGTTTAATGCAAATTTGAAAGATGAAAAGCCCTAGTTGCAGATAAAACACTGAAGTAGTTCCAAAATACTTGACTTTGTTTATGTGTATGCTGGAAAACAATAGCATTTTGTATAAGTAATGGCACAAATATAATACTTTATACTGTATATACTTTATTTAGCAGAATGTAGGCCCCTGCTTTGTCAGGGCTGTTTGTATGAATGATAATCATTGTGGTTTGTGTGACCCATGCTTCTCGAAGAAAATGTAGATTGGAATGTCTTTTACAAGACAGCACTGCAGCAACTTTTTAATAAGCCCTCATTGTGTGGAAATTGCCTGTTCTGGTCTGTCTCAATGGGAATATCAATGTGAAATCCACTGCAGTGTACTGTATATTCTCAGACCCACTAAGAGTGAACAGTTCCTCTACTCCTGTGCTGCTGTAAAACACATTTGGTAAGCTAGGAATATGACTGAGCTGGCTGATTACATAATGTGCATCTTGTGAAACGGAATCTTAACCGCTTGTTAAGTTTCTGAGCCTTTTAGCAGGAGTGCAATGGACATTTGTCACTTGAAGCACACTGTCCAGGCTAAGATAAAGCAGTATGGCTCTTGTTTTTTATTCCTCTCGAGGTACTCCTGCTTTATAAGTATTCCCCGTTTTAACCAGAAAGAAGCGACACTCTGGGATGTTGGTACCTGCTCCTTTTATGTCTGTGTTGCTTCATTGACTCTTTTCTCCAATCGCAGTTAGAATATTAAAGAGGACCAGTGAGCAGTGAGCCCCATGTGCGGCTGACCTTATCAGCACAGGGCTCTCGATGGTCCATGCCGTAGCTCACAGTGAAGGGAACTCATCTTTCAATAGCGTGCTATAGCACCTGAGCAGCACCATGTTTTCAATACCGGGTCACGGGGTTGTTTAATGCTACAGATTGGATTTAATAAATCGATTAGATAATATCTGAAGATGAGAACCATAAATGCACAGGCCTTCCACATTTCCAATTATCCAATTACTCTTGATCTTGTTAGTAATTGACGTGAATGTCTCAGAGTTGTGTTATTTCTTTGATTCATATTGAATTGAATGGGAAATAAGCACTAAAAGCTTTTTTTTTTTTGCTTTGCCATTGTGACCCGTGTGATTCATAGACAGTCTCTAGATTGCACCTGAATGGAAAAAAAAAAATATGAATGTGATGTTTTTATTCAGGTTTGTGGCAACTCACCTTGTTCCCTCACCAGGAAAAACAACTTTCTGATGTACAGTATGGCCGGGATTATTGTATTGTGAATTACTAGTGTTCAATTGTTTTTCTCCTGTTCATGAATAATCCTTTTCGTAGTTCATTACATTAGATTAATGCAAAAATGTAAAGCACAAATCTGTTGTTTTGCAGTGTTGACAAGTTACAATGTATAAAACTGTACACAAATTGAATGTTTTGGCAAGTGAGTAGATCTGTCCTGTGCTGCCTACTGGAAATCACAAACCAAAATTTAATTAGGAAGAGGCTGTCTGTTTCCATCTGGAAAGGATTCAGATAGAAGGCATGTGGAACAGAAAGCAAATATAGTGCAAGCAAACCTTGAGAAGTCTTTACAAATGAGAAGCGAAGATCAAAGTGTGGTAAGCCATAGCAGGTCACATTGACTTAGTTGCTGGCATGTGGGGAATAGTACCAGTGTGTACAGCAAAGATGAAAGAGAAGTCTGTCAGGCTGGACTTGAAGGGGTTGAAGAAACATGTCAGTGCCGTGTTCCAGTTCTTCAAGTCCAGCAGTGACGCTCATCTTGTCTCCGCAGAGCCCCAGCTGAAGGGCATCGTGACGAAGCTGTACAGCCGGCAGGGCTTCCATCTGCAGCTGCAGGCCGATGGCACCATCGACGGGACGAAGGAGGAGGACAATGGCTACAGTAAGTGGGAGGAAACGGTTCTCCTTGTCCCTGTGGCTTCTTCCAGCTCACTGCCCTGCTCCTGCCGCTCGGGGGCTCCCTCTGAATCCCGCCGCCTGCAGACTGAGTGTGATCCCGCCTGCGCCGCGCGCTACCTGCCTGCCTCCCCTTCTCCACTTTCTCAGGGGGCCTCTGGCCAGTGTGAGCAGCGCCGCTGTCTAGCTCTTACCAGTGAGGTGCATGTCAAACCAATGCACATGATCTGATGCACAGTTCCCTCCCAAAAAGGCTGGCAGCGATTTTTCTTTTTCCCCTTCAATTGGCTCAGATCCAGTAGGTGAGAATTTCTAACGTGCACACTGGTTCCGTGACGAGCCTTTTCAGGGTTTCTCCTGGGTTACAGTCTCTCGCTCTTGCGGCCCTGCTACATTGTCACTGTCAATGGTATGGCGGAGCAGTGATTGGGTGAGTTGCATATTGTAAAGTCCTGTGGATAAGTCCTAACCGTGGTCTGTTGAATCTGTCTGCAACTGAATGTCTATGAGTTTTTAGCCACAGGTACCACACGTTGCCTGCCATTCACTGTCTGTTCACCTTGTACAACCACACAGCCTTCTTGTTAGGAAACAGGTGTGTGTCAGTCTGAGTTGGAAGTACCTCCCTTATGAATTATGTTTAGAACCAAAAACACAGGACAACGCTTTCATGTAAAAGCTCTTATGGAATCAGTGCTTGGAATAGAAATGTAGGCTGACCAGTAAGCCACAGTACCCCTTCTGTGTATGAGGTGGCACTGTGATTTCTGCACGCTGATTTTAAGAGCTGATAGCCAGAAGAGAAAGAATTGCCTGAGAGAGCATACTGAAGAAAATCAAGGCACTAGTGATGTGTTTTCTCTATTATTACATTTCACACCTGAGACAGGCATCTGTGACCGTGAACAGATGGGTTAAAGTAGGCTATGCCAGGCCAGTGTTATAAGTTCTCCACTGGAACCAGATTGTCTGATAAAGCATGATAGGAATGAAATGTGCAACTCTGATCCTGCTATCAGCAAAGTCTGGGGCAGTGACAGTCAGGACTTGTACATGCTCTGTGTCGAGCACGTGGGCTCCGGGCGGAGGTTTTATCTGCTGGAAACCTTGTTGCTGACTCCTGCCCACCAGGCCAGCACTGGCAGCCAGTCTAGCTGATTATGAGCCACTGAGCCCACAGGCCGCCTCTGCAGGCCTGGGCGTTCGCTGAGGAGGAGGATGGGGTGTCGTTCAGATCATCAGTTGTTTTGTTTTTTTTTAATTCTTTGAAAAAGCTGAAAATCCACTGAGTTGAGATCAGAAGTGGGTCAGATTGCAGTGATGGCTGCTCCCGTTAAGAGACAAGACGTCTTTGAGGACTGCTATGTAGGGCAGCTAGTTGACAGGCTGTCAAATACAGTATTATTTGAGCAGTGCCTTGAAATTAATCCTGCACGCTGATGGGGTTGAAGGTCCCGACACCCCTCTAAGCTACCGGCCAAAAGATCCCCAGACTTGCACAGCTGGGGGAGAAGCATCATGCAACAAGGCAGCTCTGTAAGACTCCACTGCCCCCCCACAGACAGTAGAGGCCTGAGCAGCAGAGAGATCTGCGCGTGTCAACTGTTGAGGCTAGGACTGTCCAAGGTCAAGTGGCATTGCTTTATAACTCTTATGCTGTCTTCTTTACAAAGCCAAGACCAGAGCATAGGGGATAGAGACTGCTGCTGGGATGCAGAAGAATAGGACCTAACTGTGTACTGATGACCCATAACTCAAGTGTTGTATAAGAGAAGCCAGGCTCAGAGCCACTTTTTATTGCATTAAGCATGACCCCTTCCATTCATTCATTGTGTGCACTGACATTTTTTATTTAAAGACACTCTAGTACAAACCATGTGAAAGGAGTTTTGTTTCTGTGCATTTGTTCTGTTATTGATTTAAATTGTTCATCGCTCATTCTACAATTTGTTGCTTTTCTTTGTTTGTCTCTGTCTCTTGGCAGGTGTATTTAATAATAGTGTATGTGAACCAAAGCATAGGCTGTTTTATAGTTCCATACTTCGCCGTGTGATGACACCCAGACAAAACACAGTTTTGTCCTGATGCAGCTATCTGTCCAGCAGACATGACCTGTGCATCTCATTGGGCTTTTATTCCTAACATTGAGGACACTGTCAAAGCTAATTTAATCCCTGTTATATCATGGCTGCATTAAGCAGATGTGACATGCTGGTGGCAGCAATTAGCGTCAATTCAATTAGACATGTTGCAGGGTGGGTACTTATCAGATATTAATACCCAGTGATGCACACTACTGTATAGATCACTCATGCTGATGGGGAAAAAAGAGCTTTATAACCACTTGGCTTGAACATCACACATAACCACAGAAATAAGCCACATCAGAATTACATCAACATCAAATTCTGTAGACAGGGCTTGCGTGCCAACAGTGGTTGATTCATTGTGATAATGTGTGGTCTAGAATGTGTGCTGCTAGACGCAAGAGAAATGTATTCATTTCGCACATCTGTTTTTTTTTTCCCTTCACATAATAATTTTGCACTTTGCACTTTGTGTACACTTTAAAAGATCATTTGTTTATGATCTTTCCTTTAAAAAGGGAAATAGCCCCTAAGATGCTGAGCTGTCTCACCATAACAGCAATAGCATCATTAGCCTGCGGATGCTGTGATCTCCATGGCGACAGTGGTACCGAGCTCCCAGATCTTGAGTGATAGTGGGAGAGGGCCCCCACACAGAGGTCAAGCCTCAGGCCAGTGCTGCTCCTTTTCTTGTCCAGCGGCACAGGGAGGCTGCCCATCTCCGCTTTCTGCAGGACGCCAAGTCCAGGCCACTGTGCTGCCCTGTTATCACACAGAGCGCACCTGTCAGGCATTTTAATGTGCACTAAAGCAGCATCAGAAATTTAGTTAATTTTGGGTTTGTGTGCAATGCCTCAGGGTTTCCAGTTGATTTTGTTTGAAAATAACATATCCTCGCTTTGCTTCTGATTCTTAGTTTTTTTTTACTTTAATCTACACTAATTCACTGCGTCCTTGATTCAGGCTATAGTGCCAGAAACGACCTGTTGTGCCCTGTGATGAGTTTGTTTGTTTGTGCTGGACTTCATATGGCTCTGTGACATTACGTTGCCAGCAACTACTGTTGCACGCTGTATTGTTGTGCTTTTGATAAATAAACTTTGATTGATTGATGGATGAAAGTAATCATTCAGAGAATGAAGCCCAAGGAGAGGTTTAAGTCTGGGTTGAAGTTGCGTTAGTGGTTTGAATGTTTTCTTAGGTGAGTGACAATTTCGATCTCAAGTCTTCGGCACTGGGGCTAATTATCACAGCATGCCCCAAAACGAATGGCTTTTTGTTTCAATTAAATTTCCTAGCCAAATGATTCTGAAGCACTTATAACTAATGGAAATGAAGGAAGCACAACTTCGGTCTTGTTCATGAGAGGAACTGGCAATAAAATATTCATGGTACTTAAAAATTCTCATTCACTATCTCCAAGGCACTGATGAAGCCACATGAGTAGTGTTTTATAACTTTAGCATAAGATGAGATGCTCATAAGGGTTCCTCCTTCAATGAAGTCTGTAGCTGTTCACGTTCTGTAGGGGATCGTTTATAAGGCCCGCCCTCCCAGTCAGACACAGTGTAAGGTGGATATAATTGATGTTTCCTTTGAAATCCCTGTGGAATGGCAGTAATCCTTTTGAAATGACGTTTGGAAGACTGCATGTTTAGTTTTGTGATGTGGATTTACAGCTACCAGCGAGAATGCACTTAGGAGCACAGATACGCTCTTCAGCTTGTGGGCAGCAGGGACCCAGAGGAGACCCTCATGAAGGGCAGCGAAGAGAGGTGACACAGGCAGGCTGATGCGATGGCAACAGTCTTTCATACTGCAGAGCACCTTTATCTCCACACAGCCTCAGCTGCCCTCGAGCCGGTCCTTGCAGTGTGCTCCAGCCCAGCACGTCTGGATACGGAGTGCAGTTAATTGCCTGCATTATAAAGCCAGAGTGACCTGTCCCCCTGACGTGGAAATCCTCTCTGTAGGTTTATCAAGCCCAGTGAAATCAGTGGAAAAATCCTTTTGGCACAGGAATTCAGTTTTTCTTTTATTATATTTAGTACTTAGGTGGAAACAGCCATTGACTATATACTGTGTTTGCACCATCTGTTTGAGATCTTAATGAGCCATTCCTCCCGGTTTGCCCTCTGTGTCATAATAAAAGTTATATGGAATCTGTGCGTGCTGTGGTTTGAGCATTAGTTGAGGTGATGAATCATATTTGTGCTAGAGAGAACCTCACATCTAGAAGTAAGAGAATTAAAAGCTTCTTGTTCAATTACCAATGCATCATTTAACCAGGTCTGGCTTCAGCCTTGAGCTTGGCTTCTGCATTGCCCAACAGGTTTTAAGAAAAGGCAAAAGTATATGACTAAATTTTGTAATTATGTAGACATGGGCTTTGTAGTGGAAAAGGTGCAAATCTAATATTAAATGGAAAGGGTGAAAATAGCCACTGCATTATTTAACAGGACTGTAATAGAAACCCTGGATATGCATCGACAAAAGTAGACATTTTAATTTTTACTGAACAAATGTCATGCCAGCCCTGCCCGCGAGGTGCAGGAGACGGCTGTAGAGTGTGCAGCTGAGCTCAGAGGAGGCTGTGCTGTGCCCTTGACAGCTGGGCTACAGCAGGGGTTTCTCTTGGAAGGGCTGGCCAGGTCCAGCGAGTTTGAGCTGAAGAGCCGGCAGGCAGCTGCAGCCCCAGCTAACGGCTTTTAAAAATGCAATTGGTTCCTGATGACAAAGAGAGTTTTTCGCTAACGGCACAGGTACGAGGAAAGCTGGCCACTGTGCCTCTGGGTTTGTTTCCCCCTCGTTCCTCCCCCTCCGCGGGCCTGTGAGTAGCCCCTGGAGCTCAGTGGGGCCTGGCCCAAGAGGCCTGTGTGGGGCGGGGGAAGCAAGATGACACTATTGTGGCCACTACAGCGCTTGGGCAGGATTTATTTATTTAGGATTGAGCTTGGGGACGTTTAGATGCCACTACAAGCAGTCCAGTGACGTGATCATTTTATATCTCTCTCTCCATTTCCTGACACATGAAGGTGTTTTTTTACCCATGTTTCCCATGTGTATCCTTACCTGCCCACCAACTCCGTTTTCCACCGCCGCCTGCTCTGAGAGAAATCTCAGTGCAGCACCGATGACAAGGGGTTCATGCTGTCAGTAAACAGGTTTGCTGTGACAGTCGACTGCCCTATGCAAGAGGTGTGGGAGCATCTTGAAACACAGCTTTTAATCTTGCTTTCAGTGTTGTTTTCTGCCTTTGCATAAACTCTTTAATTTACATACAGAATGAGTTATGTCGATTGCTCTGTGCGCTGATCTTTAAAGGGTTGAAGTGAATCAACCCCTCACAGGCCCCTGTGTTGGACAAGCCTCACGGGGTGGAAGAGGAGGAAGAGGGGTCATAAGATGAGGAGGGGTGGGATCAAGAGAGGAGGATGGGGCGGGTCATG